ACTAGGGAAGGTCATCCACACCTTTTAGAAACTGGGGAGTCACTGTGAGTCCATTTTAAGTTGCTTTAGTAATTCAGAACTTCCAGATCACTCTGGAAGGTCTGTAACATGGCTCCCTCTTATACCACTATGCTTAACTTCTGGCAGATATGATGCTGGCATGGGAAAGAACTGTACTGGGAGCCCCTTACTCATTACTTGCATTTTTGATATTATTGCAGCTGTGCAAGAATAGAGGTGTTCCAATGGCTCCCATACCAATAAGATAATATGAAAAATGGACATTATTCCTTCCACTTAAAAGAAGCCTTTCAACATATGACAGCTTTACAAAAACTCTTCAAGCTGCAGTTTGGCCACCCCCGTTGTAGAGCTTGAGTCTACTTTTGCCAGCTGCCTTTATGCAATTGTATGATTATGGTCTCCAGAGCTTGGCCAGGGAACACTGGAGGAAGTGCTCTGACCCATAGGTTATCTTTTTAAATAAGCTTTTTACTGAACAGTGACCAAGAATGACCTTGAAACACATTCTCAAGTCCAGTTTTACACTGGCACATGTTATAAAACTATAGCAAGTTTTATGATGAGTGAAAACCTCATCCTGATTGTGGGAATGGATTCTGACCAAACTCCAGCAAGGACTTTAGTGATCCAATTAACAGGAGTGAAAATTAAATACCATCTCCTCCCTCTGCCAATTTTGGAGAAAGAATGTTGCAGTGGAACAGTTATGATGCTAATATAAACAACTGGGCACTCATTGGACAGTATGCTGCTTCTTCCTGCCCCCTGCTCTGCCATATGTTACCCATATGAACAAGTTGTGCTTTGATGCATATCCTACACTGCCAACTATCATGCTAGTTAACCTCAGAAAGACCTGTTGCACTCTGAAGTCCTGTGGGAAATGAGCAAGCTTACACATTGGCACGCGATCTACCCAAGACATAAAATGAGCTAGCTTAATATTTAATGTGAATGTAGTTCAGTGATCTTCATAGGAAATTAGAAACCTTGAGCAATCAACTAATATACCCACAGAATGGACACATTTTTGAGAGGTATGGAGCACTGCCAAAGTTACTAAAATAGTGAACTATATCCAAAGGTGCATTTCCATATATACCTGGTTACAGAGAACTGCATGAGAAAAGTGAACTTAAATTCCATGATGGTCTTTTAGTTTCCCAGGAGTTTACACAAATAGTTTGGACCCTTTTGTTAAGTCAGAGAGATTGGCTAGAGGTCTGTGGCAACATTTCAGGTAAGCAAAAAACACTGCACAAGTTTCCGTGCCATTTTTCAGAAGTGCATGAAGAAATGTGTAGAAAAAACGACACTGGAATATGTGCAGATTTTTTTCTAGTCTAATTTCCAACCCTGTATTCCCAAATCCATTTTCTGATTCAGTAAAAGGTCAGAACTTATGAAAACCACCACTCCATTCAGCAAAGCATTCCTCCAAAGGAAAACCCTCATCACCTGTAGGAAGGCTTCTCTGAAAGATCTATGCCTGCCAGCTGAAAACATATCATGCATCTCCAGTGGAGTGCCACAGGGCTCGGTCCTAGGCCCGATGTTGTTCAATGTTTTTATAAATGACCTGGAGGAAGACAGAGGGGATGCTTATCAAATTTGCAGATGACACGAAGCTAGATGGGATTGCTAATTCTGAAGAAGACAGAGTCAGAATTCAAAATGATCTAGATAGGCTAGAACAGTGGGCTGAGACAAATAAAATGAATTTCAATAGAGATAAGTGCAAAGTCCTACACTTAGGTACAAAAAATCAAAGGCACAGATATAGAATGGGAGAGACTTGGCTTGACAGCAGCACATGTGAAAGGGATCTAGGTGTTCTGGTTGATCACAAGTTAAACATGAGCCTGCAGTGCGATGTGGCTGTGAAGGAAGCTAATGCAATCTTAGGATGCATTAACAGAAGCATTGTGTCCAGATCACGGGAGGTGGTAGTTCCGCTCTATTCTGCTATGGTCAGGCCTCACCTGGAGTACTGTGTCCAGTTTTGGGCACCACATTTTAGGAAGGATGTTGACAAGCTCGAGCGTGTCCAGAAGAGGACAACCAGGATGGTGAGAGGGTTGGAATCCAAGTCTTATGAGGAAAGGCTGAAAGAGTTGGGTATGTTTAGCCTGGGAAAGAGAAGGCTTAGAGGGGACATGATTGCAGTCTTCAAGTATTTGAAGGGCTGTCACGTAGAAGATGGAGCAGATGTATTCTCTCTTGCTCCGGATTGCAAGATTAGATCTAATGGGTAGAAATTACAAGGGAGTCGTTACCGGCTAAATATCAGGAGAAACTTCCTAACTGTAAGAGTGCTTGAGCAGTGGAACAGTCTGCCTCGGGAGGTGGTGGATGCTCCTTCACTAGACGTTTTCAAGCAAAGGCTGGACGACCATCTTTCGGATATGTTGTAGGTATGTAGGGCTATCTTTCAGCTATGCTCCTGCAGAGTGCAGGGGGTTGGACTAGATGACCAGCAAGGTCCCTTCCAACTCTAACATTCTATGATTCTATGACTCCATAAAGAATTTTTAATGTGCCACATGACTCTTTTTAGTTTAGAACTAGTTGAGGCAACTTTAAATTATGTTTGATATTTTTGACATGCTTTGTAAGTAGGGTTGCCAGCTCTGGATTGGGAAATACCTGAAGATTTGGAGGGGATGAAGCCTGGGGATCCTAGGGAGGGCAGGGTTTGGGGAGGAGAGAGACCTTAGCAGGAGAATATAATGTCATAGAGTCCACCCTCCAAAGCAGCAGTTTTCTCCAGGGGAACTGATGTTGCTTGTCTGAAGATCAATTGTAACAGTGGATGATCTCCCAGTGCCACCTGGAGAACTGTAGCTAGAAGGCAAATAAAAGTTTTGGATCCTGCCTAAAATTTCTGCACACACAAGTGGGAACAGCTTTTGGGGGCATGTGGTGCTGTAGCAGGAAGGAGGAGGCAGGTAAGTTTCACCTCTTCACAGAAATGTTAGGTGGGTTCCAAGCCAGTAATACTACTAAATAATTTGAACCAAAATTATTGTGTGAACTGTGTGCCACAGCTTTATTTGACTGTGGTTATACTGGTACCGCTGACCACACTGAAATTCTGTAACTTGGCAGCTGCATATATAAATATAGACTAATCTTTAAAGCAAGAAAAGTTACTATTTTGTTAACAAATTGTTCAAGAAAAATTTGTTCTCTAACATACACAAATGTACAATGGCTTCTCTTTAGACTTTAGTTGATATTGGTAGAATGTAAACTTTCTCAATTTTCAGTTTCTACTGAAAGGGCAAAAGTTTAGTTTCCCCTTATAAAGGTTATTAAAAATAACAACAAAGTAAGAAGCGAATGAGCATATAGGGTATTCCCATAGTAGGCAACAAAAACAATAATAAAATCAAGAATCCTTGACTGTTTTTTAATAATTGATAATGAGATATTTGCCCCACTCATAAAAATGCAGGTAACAATAAAAATAGTGCCCCTTTCCAACCATACAAGGGTAGAGCAGCACACTCGCACTTGAACCACATTGGCATTTAATGATGCAAACCAGCAGTTCTGCCTAGAAACCTCCGTAATTAGTAAGAGATGATATAAACACTGACTGACAGAATTTACAGTATTCTCCCCAAGCTGCCTACCAGTTCATAAAAATGCACCAGTGTGGTCTGTAACACAAAAAGATACTTACCCACAATATTTAGATCAGGTAAACTAAACTTTGACGTAATTTCTTGTGAAGGATAAACTACGGCCCTGAGAAGCTCCCAAACGTCAAAGAAAATACTGAAAACTGTTCAATATGGACATGTAATTCAGATCCTTCATTATTTGAGACACTGCCTTTTATCTCTCTTCACTCCATTTACATTTACCACCTTGTCTACTACAGATGGAATTAAAAGTGCCATATATCAAAATTATTTCTGACACTCCAACCCAGGACTTACAATTAATATTTAACCATTTAATATTTTGTTTAGTTTACACATGGGTTCCTATACTTTCTTTGGACACTTTTTCCTGCTTTTTTCACCAATCCCCTTCTTCACTGTAAGTGCCATCTACTTCACTCACATGCTCCGGGGACACTACTGATCTGCTGGTGGCTTAAACGTACTTGAAGAGTTTTGAAAAGCTGTCATATTTTACATCTGGAAGTTTTCACTCATAGCAACTGCTCCAGAGATCATTTAAGGTACATAAAACCAATAGGAATTGCAGTGATAAGTGCCACATGTAGGAAAGACACAACTGCAAAGGAAGGTTTTCATTGAAAACATTTAACATTTTCATAGGGATGCTGCACTGTCAACAATGCCAAGAACAGGTTCTGGAGCAGCTAAGACATGTTCTACAGTGTTTCCCTATTATGGTCAGTCTCTCTCTCTTTCTGTTACCAAAATGAATATGCCACAAGTTGTCGTCAGCATCATTTAAAATAATGTCATTTGCTTTGCTTTTATAGGAAAAATTGTATAGCAAAAAATGGCCTTGAAAAAAATTCAAACATCAGATCCACTCAAACTTCTGTCCTATCATATTGTCTGTTCTGAGTGAATTTTCTTTTACATTCAAGCAAAACAATTTCCTGAGATTTCTTTAAGGAATCAATATGCCTCTATTTTTTCATCCTTGCTCCAAGACAGAGAAAAATACTGTTCTTATATCATTTCGACTGTCACCGCAGTATAAAAGTGCAGAATTCTAGAATCATTGACTTTAGGGTGTTTTGAAGGCACTAACATTAATTTCCTGAGAATGCTAACACATAGGCACTAACATTAATTTAATAAGAATGCTGCAGGAGGAGAGAGTCAGATATTACAGTATTATACACCACCACCAGGGCTTTAGGGAGAATAAGCAGCATTTCTTTCTGTTAAGGTGGCTGAAAACTTAGTATGTATCTTACTCAAAACTGCCACAGGAGATGCTTCAACACAAATATGCACACACAAAGAGGGATAACTGCTCACCTTTTCTTCATAGCCAAAACAACCCCTAGAAATATAATAACGAACAGCAAGATTCCCGCAATCACTCCGGCAATTTTAACAGTGTGGTCTGTTTGCTTCTCTGGCTCTGGGTCTGGTTTCCTAGTAGCGGCACCTACAGATGTATATTTTAAAAGAACACAGAAGAAAAGAATTAGTAGACTTATTTGTTAAATGACAATTGAAAAACATTAAAGCTTTGATAACTGGGATTTCTTAAAAAGTAATTGACATACACTGGAAAAATATCAAAGTATTTATACTCCTAAACCAAATGTTGGTACTATATTCAGTACCTCACCCTTTTATGTGAGCCTGTCCCCCCATTCCAATGTCTATTATCATATCCAACCTCTCTGTTCATTTTACTATTTAAAAAAACTTGCTACAACACAACCACCATCACAAGCCTTTATCCAAATTTGATTTGTGGAACATGTTCTGCAATTATTTTTCATAAATGAAGCAGTAATTCCTTAACATATTAGTTTAAACACCTGGAAATGTGAGATAAACCCATTTACCATGCATTTTACCAGAAATTGTTTTGTTTTTACACAATAGACTTTTTTGTTGCCTTTGGAAATCTAAATCTAGGTCACATCTGGTAAGCAAGACTCCTCCTTAGCAATTTATTCACAAAATGGGAAGCAGCTGATGATCACATTACTGGCACCCACATTTAATATCTGTTTAAATGAGATAACCAGTGCCTTACAGCAGCTACTGTCTTTGGCTTTTATAGCTTCCTCTTTACAAACACACGCACGCACGCATGCACAAACACAAAACCACTGTTTGTTCTATTTACCATAGAATGTGATAGAATGTCAGAATCCATGTCTCATGAAACATCCATTTTCTTTGTTGAATAATTTCAGCGTGAAAAAAACGGTTAAGGATTCATTGTTCAATTCACTATGCTGACCCTTTTAGAGGACTTCTGACTTTTTAATCAAAACATGACAGTATTCATCATTTGAGGCACCATGTCACCTTCACAAGGTGGACAGACAATCCTGGAAACAAGTCTGATTTATAAGCTTTCTCATTAAAGTTCCTGTGGATTGACATGGGCAGGGGCGGGGAGAGTATAAAATGTAATTAAAGTTTAACGTTTGGGGACTAGTATACTCTGGGTTTCATCAAGGACTCTGAAGGCCTGATTAAATTCTAACTTTTTATATGCCTAGAAATCAAAGTAATGTCTAGTCATCCTGGGACAGTTTTTTTACTACAGATTTTTGGCCACTGGCAAGGGGACTTATGGGTGGTGGGGGCAATGTACTGGCATCTCTCTGCAGGAACTCCACCCAGCAACACTCTGACATCACATCTGGGCACACAGGAAGTGACATCAGCTTATTGGGATGCTGCTGAGATCCCTCCAGCTTCCTGACATTTCCCATCTTTCTGGCCAACTGAGCAGTGGTGAGGAAGCACTCACCCGTCTCCCTGAGGGGGCAACTCTACAAATGATCCATGGTATCAGAAAACTGCACACTGAAGTATGCACTAACCACTGTTAGTCTGTATTACTTTTGAAGCAGTATAATCATGGGGTTATTCCTTGCCATACTGGTCCAGTTTTGCCTGATATGAAGCACCTTAATTTGTCTAAAAAGCATGAATTTTTAATACAGCAAAATTAACAGTAATGGCAGGTAATGTGGGAATGGATGCTTTCAACTCCAGTCACATAATTTTAGGAAAACCTCTTTCCCATAAGGACAGGGAAGTCCATTTCTTTTTCACTGTATTTCCTATGTCTTTATTCTTTCACTTTTCAACATACAGGTAAAAAACAAACAACAAACAAAAATATAGTCCTGATCTCTGGCACAGAAGAGCCTAACTGCCAGTTTCCACAGGTTACAGAATGCCCACCCTCTCAGTTTCCTTTTCCATTATGCCACAGCTAGGGCGGTGGGACCAGCATTTACAACGAAGAGGTACCAGTGTCAGAACTTGGCCCTAGTGTCATAAACAGCAACTAATCAGGAGCTTATGGACCAAACACAGGAAATGCCACAACTGCATCTCCACAGCAGGTCATAAGATCAAGAAGTCTGGTTGCAATATATCACTTGGTTCATTTAGTACATGGCTACCCACCTGAATCTAACTTAGGGAAGCCCCACCCCCCAAGAGCAGCCACCAGTGGCCACCTCTCTCCCTCCCCTCCTGCATGATTTAAAAGGCCCTCCAGCTGACTGGCTGGAGCACATGGCCCACCGATCAGCTGGAGGGCCCCTTAAAACTTGCAGGAGAGGACGGAGAGGGGCAGCCGCTGACCACATGCCTGAACTGTGAGCGGCGAATTCAGCACTTGGAGCTCAGGTGCTAGTGGCCCTTGCTTGTAAAAAGCATTTAAAGGGTCCCTTTAAAGGCCTTTTACAAGTGGGGGCTGCACACACCTGAACTTCAAATGGTGAATTCGCTGCTTGGAGATCAGGTGCTGGCAGCCCCGCTTGTAAAAAGCACTGAAAGGGACCCTTTAAATGCTTTTTACAAGCAGGGGCCACACACACCTGAACTCCAAGCAGGTCTGTCTAGATGTTCTCAGGAGATCCCCAAGTGGTGGCAGTCTTTAGTAAGTTCTTTAAGAGAGTTTCCCAACAAGGAAAGGCACCTTTCCCCCATCCTTCTACATCTAGCATGTGAACTAGATTGTAGTTTATAAGCCAACATGAATGACCTAGGGCAATTATTTAGTTTTAACGCATTTGAAAGTAAATAACTCGTAACTCATTTGGTATAACCATACAAATAATTAGAAAAGAGCAAGAGTCCAGTAGCACCTTAAAGACTAACAAGGTATGTAGTAGGGTATGAGCTTTCGTGAGTCACGGCTCACTTCTTCAGATCTTGATCTATCTCACAAATAATTGTGAAGAAAACTGAGTGCAAGTTAAACAAGATTGCTTTCTTGAAAACAAGGAAAAGCCTCTATTTTTCCTCTCTGATGTCATGTACCCAAATAACTCCTTCTTTTAATTAGAGCATCACTCTTCTGTTATAAATGCATTTACTGAATGTATCACTTTAAAACTCTCCCACCTAAATTTTTTGTACAAGTGTTCCCATCAACTGATGTAATGCTAAAGTTTTTTAAAATAGGCAGTACATAGCTCAGTCACCAACGAAATACATTTTTTCTATTATTAGCCAGCCTGTGATGTTTTTTATTTTCTATTTTCTACCTTTTCAGACCATTATGATTTTATTTTCTGGGCCCTACCTCTTGACCTGTGTTATACAGATACCAGTAAATATTCCCCTGTTCCTCCTAAGGGCAAGGTAAATGATCACCCCTTCAAAAAACCTCATATCCTTAAGAGGCATGCAATCAAATTATTATGCAGGCAGTAGGATCCAAGTAATATCACTTTTCAGCACCTACCCTTAACTCATATTGCAGATAAGGTCAGTGAAATGAAATGTTATACCCTTGTGTGACAGCTGCATTGTGATTAGGAGTATGGAATCATGCAAAATAGGACAGGACTAAATTGCCCTATAGTGGCTACATTTCTACCTTTGATTATCTAATTCAAGGGGTCTGCCACAATGCAAAAGGGTGGGAGGGGTGAGCGAATGCATAAAATTTCATCTTAAAAGAACTGATTTCATTCCTGAACAGAAAACCAACCCATGCATGTGAGGTGTGGTAGAGGAAGGAATTGGGTCAAATGCTCAGTCAATCAATGTGGCATGCAATCAATGCATCAGTTCAGAAGGTCAATCTGTATTCATCATCCAGGAGAGCACAGAGGCCCTAATTCTTAACTAGGTTATATCCAGGAATGACAATATGCAAGGGAATACTGTGCAGTGTTGAACTACAGAAGATACAAGATAGGGTTAATGTTTAAAGTATTGCATAAGAAGCAGCATTGAGCAAACTTCAGAGGACGGCGGAAGACAGGAAGGCCTGGCGTGATCTGGTCCATGGGTTCGCGAAGAGTCGGACTCGACTGTGCGACTGAACAACAACAACAACATAAGAAGCAGCACAGAAGAAGCCTTCTGGCTGTTCAGGACAGAGAAAGGAATGACCTATGGGAACTATAGTCCAGTGTGCACACAAAAGCTCATACCCTGAATAAAACTCTGGTGGTCTTAAAGGTGCAACCGGACTCAAATCTTGTTCTACTGCTTCGGACCAACATAGCTGCCCACCCGGATTTATGGGAACTTTGAGCTAATCTTTTGAAGGGAAACCTCAACCTCTCTAGAGCTAGTATCAACAAGCCAAATCTCCTCGTCATTAGAATCATCTGAATCGGAGAAAGGAGCGGCCGCTCCCAAACGGCAGAAAACGAAGAAATCTAAGAAGAAAAGACTCTAAAACTAAAGCATGAGTGCTAAGGGCAGTAATTGTGCTAAGCTAATAACTTTATACTTTTGATAATCAAACTAATCTCTGTATAACCAGTACTAATAGGTTTAAAAGATCTATTTTTAAGCTTTTCAGATCGTGATTTGTATTAGTCTTTATCCCTTCCCCATATCCAGTAGGAGATTTAGAATAGAATCGTAGTTTTTACTCCCCCTATCCAGTAGATTATATGTACCTAGAATTCCCTGACCCATTTCCCATAGTAATAGTGATAGGGCATTAGTATTCATTTCCCCATTCCATATATGTAGTGTGTAGAAAATGCAAAAATAAAAAAAATTCCCCTTCGTGGGGCCAAAAAAATAAATAAAAATAAAACTCTGGTGGTCTTAAATGTGCAACCGGACTCAAACCTTGTTCTACTGCTTCAGACCAACATGGCTGCCCACCCGGATCTATGGGAACTTTGAGCTAATCTTTTGAAGGGAACCCTCAACCTCTCTAGAGCTAGTACCAGAATGGCCATGCAACTGGCATGCCAGTATTGCCCACAAAAATATTGCCCAGGGTGGCAATATTCAGAATGAGTCTTATGGCAGAAACTCCCAAGTACCTTAAGTAAAACAATTTTGGAAAAGTAGTGGCCCTATGGCAGCCATTAAAAATAACAAATCGTATTAAAGATGCTGACAAATCTTAACAATTGGTTGGTCCATTTGCCAAAACAAACAGACAAAAGGTGTATAGATGATGAAATCACAGCACAATTACCA